TGTAGCAGGTTTAAATCGCCACGTTTTCGCAGTTTGCATCAGTTTCTCACCAACATGCGCAGCCTCTGGTAAAACGTGTGACGACCAAACCGGTGTAACGTTCGAGCGCTCCAGTACTGTGAGATGTCTAAGTTTTGAGGGAATCAACCTTGCCCCGTTCCGCAGTTCTTTTTCTTTTTCATTCAGATTTGGTATCGGTAATCGCAGGGTTTTAAATTTAATTTGTGTTTAATTTTTTTTGTAAAATTATGTTCATCGAGTTGAATCATTCGATTCCTATGTTCGTTAAGCGACCGTATTTTAGAAACGAAACACGGAAAGGTAACCGTTCATCCTCGTCGTCCGGCTAGTGCGCTTCCAGGTAATTGAAAGTTCATTGCCCAGTTATATTGGTTGAAACTTCGTCTTAATTATGTTCTACGGTTTTTACTTACTGTTTCATTGTGTGAAAAAAAATAAATGCCTCTGGAAAGGAAGGCTAGGCAATTGTTTTTTTGCCAATCTGACCGGTAGAAAGCCCATGGGACGGCCAAGATTAACCTGGTGCAAACATATGGAAGGAGTCTGTTCCAGACTTCTGTTGTTTTCTGCCAAAGCTCAGACTTTGGTCGAGAAGCAGAAACGATCGAAGCAGCCTCTGACGCGTCTGCCTCCGTGATCCGAAGGGAGAAGCGGCCATGGAAGACGAAGATGAAGTTGTGTGTGAAAATGGAACGTCCATATTTAGTTAATTTAGTTTGACACTGTTTTATGTTTATGTCTCCCCCTGAATCAGATCAAGCGTGATCAGAAATCTTGTAATACATTGTACGACGTGTTTTCCTTTTCAGGGAAAGGACTTTTCGAATATTTTGTTAATTTCTTATTTTTGAGACTTACATTTGCCTATAAAGCCACACCTGGCATATCACTACGTACTAAAGTAACTCTCAACTTAGCGGTTACTCGATTTGTGGAAGTTTTTGATGATTGTTTTGCCGTAATCATTTGTATACGCATTTAGATACTCGAAACAACATCTGCCTGCATCCCAAAAGTGAAGGTACTTGCAGGGGTATATTCCCACGCTGGTATTACGTACCTGACTTGGACATCTGCAAGTCGTTCGTCTACGGTGGTTGCGCAGGGAACGGCAATAATTTTAACAGCAAACTAGCCTGCGAATTGAAGTGCAAACGAAGTATGTGACGAATTTGCTGTATGTCTTTTGCTGTCTTTCTTTAAATAATTTCGCGCTGGATGAGATCTTGTTTGAGTAGATCCAGAGATTGTGTTTTCAAGGAGATCATGTTTATTAATTAATATGAGCAGTTTCTTTTTTGAGGAAAGTTAGCAGTGGTTTCAGGTTTTTCGATGAATATTGGGGTGACAGTCTTGAATATTGGAGTTGTAAACGTCAGTGACAGAAGTCCTGTCTTGGATTGCCTTCGATGGCAGCACGTGCCTTGGCATGAAGGAAGGTTGCGTTACCGTCAAAGATGTAGCCCAGGTGCGCGTCCAAACCTCAAGGACGTGTTAGTGGACTTGAGTGGGAAGGTAAAAATTAATCCCAGCCGTTGTCACGTCGGTTCACTGCCTTCAACAAGAATGTCGAAAATGCTTTGACAAGTTTTCTTTATTTCTTATGATTGTGC